ATGTTAGCACTGGTAACTTGAAAAATAGGCCCTGGTAGCTATGAGACAGAAAATCTGGCAAGTCTGAGCCCCATCATGGGTACTTCGGAACAAACAAAGGCAGGTGTTATTCACTTGAAATTCCTCCAGGGGTCACTCCCTCCAGTGCAGGGCCTTGTCCAGGGCTCTGTGTCCAGAATGCAGTGGTACTCACTATGTGGCAGATGAATGTGGTTGGAACATTTTGAGCATCACACAAGGATGAATCATATCTGGCCGAGTCTTCTACCTAGGCCTTCTGTGCAGGTGACTTGGAGCAATCGGGGCAGGGTGGGCTGTACTTCTGTAGGAGAGGCTGCACCTCACCAAGATCAGCCTCTGGCCCTGGTATCTCCCATTTCTTACCTGACTGTAGTATGAGCTCTGTCACCTGGCAGGGAACATCTAGCCCACCCACTAAGCTGCCCCCTGAACACTGGGCTTCTGCTTCACGTGGTGCACTGCCCACAGCTGAGGCTGCAGAAGCTCTGGGGAGTTGCCGTTGTATCAAGGAGCCTTGAGAACAGGGGCAGGGCAACAAAAGGAAGGGCGAGGTTTGTATGTTTTGACTTGCAATTACTGTTAAGCAGCCGTAAACAAGGAAATTTACCACAGCCCTCTTAAAGTGGGTAAAGAACAACCATGTGCTTTAGAGTAGTTACTTTTCTCTCGCTGTGACCAAACTCCCAGTGAGAAGCCACTGGAGGGGAAAAGGGTTCACTTTGACTCACAACTTGAAGATACAGTCCAGCATCATGGTGACGAAGTCACGGTGGCAGGAGATGTGTGAGGCGGCTTGCTCACATCCAAGAGAACAGGAAAGCAGAGACGGGGGGGGGGGGGCAGGAGTGAAATCTGCTATAATCCCAACGCCCACCTCCCAGTCACCCACTTACTCCAGCAAGGTCCCTCCACCTCCTAAAAGTTCCACCCTTGAGCCTGTGTAGAAATAGTTCACACCCACACCACAATGTCCACCAAAGAAGGACCAATGATCCTCAAGGCCAAATATTTCATCCCCATGGCAGACATACAAGCAGGAAAGGGTTCTTGAAATGCCGTGTCAGCTGGATCTCAGTAACAAGCTCACTGTTTCCTCTTTAGGGATGTGTACATGGTAGCACATGTACACATGGTAGAGATGCTAGCACATGGTGACAAGCAAGGTGGAGTTTCCTGTGGCCAAGTGCCCCTGACCCCAGTAGTGGCTGCACCAGAAACAATTGATGTCAGGCTTCTGAGTCCCACATTTGGATAAACCCTTCCAAAGCCTGGTCCCTAATTTTCTTTTTGCAATTCTCTTTCTTGAATGGCTCCACATTGTGCAAGCTTCTGACACCCACAAAAAACTAGTTCTAAATATCTAAACACAGTATATACTCTGTATAATTGTTTGTGTGCGCATGTATTATATTTAACAACCATTATTGAAAAGGAGCCCTGAATTTGAAAGAGAGCAAGTATATAGGAGAGTCTGGAGGGAGGAAAGGGAAGGAGGAAACGATGCAATTATAATATCAAAAATAAAAGAAATAGTTTTTTTAAAAAATCCTTCTTTGCCCGTTTTTACTGCCTCGTGCTACCCACACTACAGTCCAGCACCTCAGAGTAAAATGAATCCAACTCTTGAACATTTTCCTTGCTAACATTTGCAAAGCAAGATGCTTAAAAGCTGGGCCTATTTTAAGCCTTACCATATCAACTTCTACTTAGAAAGGTGGTGGGTGGGGTCCTCTCCCATCCCACTGCTAACACACGTGCGTGGACGCATACACACACACACACACACACACACACACACACACACACACACACACACAATTTCTCCTCCTGTCTTCCCAATACAGTCATATTATACATGTTTGGGTATATTACTCTTTACATGTCTTGGACCATGTACATGTTGTTCATGACTGAGACAAAGAACATATTGTAATTACTTTTATTTTCTCACATCTTTCATTTTTACTGGCGTTGAAATTAAATTAACCTTGCCTTTTCATTTGCTTAAATTTCGGGTTTTTGCTTTTTTGTTTCTTTGGTTGGTTGGTTTTGTTTGTCTGAGCGTCGGTCACTAACTCAAGCTAAGCGCGGTCCAGATGTAAAGCAGTTCTCCTTAGAGTCAAGTGCAGGAGACAGATCACTAGGTTTCAGGACTTTTCTGGCCAGGTTTCTCCTGGATCCCTCCACCTGCTGCCCTAGCCTGCCCCAGTTCCTTGCTCTTCTGCACGACTGGCATCCCAGCACACACCTGTCACCAACCTGCCGGGCTTCTCCCTCCTCCTCGACCTCCTGGATTTTATTTATTTGTTTGTTTATTTATTTATGTTTGTTTGTTTATTTATTTATTATCATATTTTTACACCCTCCTTAAAATTCAGAGGGATCCCCAGGAGGAAATTATCTCATTTATTGACAGTTTGGTCACGTGGGGGAATTCTAAGTGGGCAAGAAGTCCCTTTAAGGATCTTGAAGTAGTATACCTTATCTGCCAACATTCCGGGCTGTACTTTTAAGTCTGGGCCATTTTGATTCGCACTTATTTTTAGAGGACTCTCCTTCTCTCTCCTCTCATCCTCCCGTCATTGCTAATACTTTAGCCATCATATAGATAATTCATCCACAGTACTGAACACCTGCCCAAGCCTTCCTATCTCCAACATGGGTCTTGCAGTTGTGTAAATTATATAAAATATATTTATATTAATGACTCCTCAATGATTTCCTCTCACCAATCCTTTGCTCGCTCACTCACTTTCGTTCTCCCTGGCCCCCTTCTCTCCTCTCCCATTAGTTGAGTTAATATCTCATAGTTTAAACATCATATATTGAGCCCATAACTTCCTTCTCTTTCCTCTCCTCTTTGTTTTGTTGTTGCTGTTGTTGTTTTAGTGAGAGTATTGTGTCTGCGCTTATCCTCTGTCCTGGAATATACCTACACAGAAAATATTTAGAACCACGAAACATTAGAGATCTGACAGCTAAGCAGTCAACATTCCCATGGGACCTGGAAATGGAGGGGGATGTTCTTTCCGATCTGTTATGGACTTTGACTTGATCCCTCTGTCTCTGGTGTCATCCTTAGAGCCCCCTCCCCTCAGTTTGAATGTTCTTATCGGGACCTCCCTAGTAGGGTTTCTGCATACTAATCTCTCATCATCAGCTAAAGAAGACAAGGTCCAGCATCCACCAGCAATCCAGCAATCTGTACATACTTGGGGGTCTGTCCATCTGCTTCAGACCTGCCTTGGAGGCATCTGAGCCTCCCTTCCTGAGCCCCTTACCTCTATGTGAAGAAGCATCAGGTCCTCACTGGTTTCTCTACAGTAGACAGAACATTCCCACTGTCTCTACCACCCACATTCCCACACTCCCAATCGTGTGACCCTTCTCCTTTGTGGTCATCTTTGCTTCTGTTCTCTAGTCTCCGCAGATTTACATCATTTGAATTTGCTCTTCCTGCCATTTTATTGGTATCTCAGGAGAGACTAAGAAACATGCATGTGTGCAAATCACCCTGCTCAACTCAAATCTCTATTTGTACTTCTTTTGTTTTAAAAATTGCAATTTTATGTTGCTTCATACCAAACAGAGTTATGATTTGTGTTTAACAATTTAAAATGCCAGATCTCTTACTTTTGACAGTTCTAGCACATTTTAAAGAGCTTTTTAAAAAAGTCTTTTCTGGGAATTTCACAGATACATTCAGTTCTCCCCACCCCAATGAAAACCCGATGTGTTCCACATAGGATGCAACCATCAAACGAGTGCTAGGAGCCAGCAGAATTGTCATTATATCATTAAACTAGAATCTTGGACTCTGCAAGATCTCAGGGGGTACAGTGAATATGGAAAGATGGGTTCCAGGCTGGCACAAGGAGCCACCTGATGGGAATCTGGATGGGACATAAAGCAGAAAGAGCACACAGGAGGAACGTAACATCTGTCCGTCCACTGCCACTCTCACTTGGCCATCAGCCGGTGAGCCAACCACATCTGTAAGGGAAGAGTGGAGATGCTGAGTCTAGCTATGCCTGACTTCTCCAGAAAGGAAGTGGTCCATCAGTTCTTAGCCACTGGGAAACTAAAGTGAGCTCATAAATCTAAGTGTTCTTGGAAAATAAAGAGGCTATATAGATGCACAAGGTCATTATCAGTCCCAGGGCAAGGCAGACAAGTCCAGTTCTGACCTGTAGCATTATCAAGTATGCCACAACAGTCAGTTGTGGAGAAAGGGCAAACCTCTGGGAGTGTCTGTGAAGAAAGCTGGAATTTATTAAAGAAATTAATCCCCATGGCATCTGAGACTCAGGAAGAGGTCTGTCCCAACACTCACCTACCTGGGGGGAGCTCTCAGAAGACATTCCTGAAGATGATGGCATCTTAAAATGATATACTCCATCCCTTGAGTGACCAGGTGGTGGTTCTCCCTGGCTAACCTGCATTAGACTTTGAGTGAGAAGTTAACTCACGCAAGGCTAAGCTACAGAGATTTGGGCAGGCTTGTCACAGCGTAGCCTGTCCTTTCCCAGCTGAGGATCCTGGTTCAGAAGGCTGCTGCAAGGCCCTGGCATCCAGGGGAGGGTTGTAAAGAGAGGAGGGTATGAGGGTTCTGAATGGAAAGTTCTTCTCTTCTCCCTGGGGACGAGGTGAGAACAGGAAGGGACTCCCAGGGCTTTGGTTTCTTAAACTTTCCTGGGTAGATAAACAAGGAGTAAGGGGTCTAGAGACAATCCATCATGAAAACATTGTCTCCTCAGTGTAGATCCCCATGTGGAGGGACTGCCCCATCTCATGGTCCCTCCTGTGGAAGAAGTCCTCCAGTGCCCTCTCTTAAACCTGTCCTAGGAGATCCTTTTCTGGCTCACTTGTTTAGGCAGAAGGCATGGCATCTCTAGAAATCGTACCCCCTGGCCAAGGATAAACTTGTCCTAAAGGAAACTACATCTCCAACTCCTGGGATCAGAAAGAGGAGCACCCACCTTCTTCCCTCCTTTGGGTTGGGCTAAGGATTTCCCTAGGGAGAACAGGCCATAGTTCCTGAAACTTGAAACTGGGTGCAGCATCTAATAGCACCTGGGAGAGACAAGAAAGTAGTGGAATATGGGTGAAGGCAGAGAAAAGAAACCATGATTGTCTTTAACTCAGTCCAGGTGAATTAAGACTGTTCAACCAACCACATAACCCTCTAAAATTTGCCTCTAATTTCAATGTCTTTATAAACAAGCCATTTTAATAACACACCTTGTTTTGAAAACCCCACCCACTCATTTTATAGTTGAGTCAAACCAGAGAGGATATAACATAGCCAATGATACATGTCAGGACTCTGAATAGCTCTCACCCATTGACGCTGGACAGAGCCAACCAAGGTGCCTGTGCTTGACGTGAAACTCGGCCGATGCAAGGGTAGCACTTCGCATCCAAACCACCCAGCAGCTTCTCTCATCCTGGGTTAGTCTGCCCAGCATAAAGCAAGCCTAGACTGCAGAGAAGTAGATGGTGCTTTGCATCCATGTGAGACGTGAGGCCAAGGATGCGGGGCGGGCAGATAAGTGCTTCTGTGCACAGGGCCCATGATACTCACATCCTTATCCGTACAGACAGAGTTTCCGCTGTGTTGGCTAAAGTCCAAAACAAACCCTAACCTGTGAAGGGGTTTTAGTGCTTTACCACTTGGGACAATTTACCCACTGAGTATTAAATTTTAAGATTCGACTGTCCCAAGACCTAATTAAAGAAAGAACTAGAAGAAATCGTGAATAAAGAATAGAAATCCCAAGCCCAAATCGTAGCGGGGGGAGGGGGCAATAATGTGTTTTCAAGTTTATCATAAATATCACAGAATTGTTTCATTTTTCAAAAATTACCAGCCGGCTTCCTCTTCCTGTAGAAATTGAGCAAGCACAGCACATCTCTGGCATGCCTTGCTAACCACGGATTCCATTATGTGTTTAATAATTGACTATTCAATAGAGCAGTGATGCATTTTTGTCTGGAACTAATTCACCTTTGTCTGTGCTCGGCATGGATGTTCAGAGAATCCCAGATGGGATGGTGGAAGTGTTCTCGCTCAGGCTGCCCGACACAGGCCCACATCCTGGGCATTATTCACATCAGGCCCTGCGCTCAGAAATGTTCTAGCATGATAAAACCACCTGAAGATGTGATTTATGGACGCCGTGCAAAGTGGGACAACGCCTCTCCCCTGCTAATGAGAACTAACCAATCTCGGGCTGCGGGCATCTTAAACCGGCAAAGAAACTGTCAGCTGCAAAATTAACAAAAACGAACATCCTTAGAGCCCTTTACAGCCCTGGGAGCTACCCAGCTGGACATGGAACTATGGTGGGTTGACTGGGGAAGGGGAATTAGCCAATGTGTGTGTTGACTTCTTTATGGTGAAGGGAAAAATCCCTGACCCCCTGAAGAGTTTCTTTGCCTTTCTCTGTTGGGTTTATGGATTTGAACAGCACAGTAAACAGCCCAATCATTTAGAGCTTTGAGATGGCCCCACTGCTCCATCCTGCAGGGAGTTTGTGCATGGACTCAGAGGCTGAGCAGGGATGTTGTGGCCTGGATATCTCAGATTTGTAAAGAGCCACGAAGAACATACTCCATGGCAGCCACCTTGGCTGTGTCTGCAGCAGAGCAGAAGACACAGCAGGGACTTGTGGGAAATCCAGCCCCTGAGAGAGGGAGAGAATGTACAAGAGAATAGTGGCCCGGGGTTACAGTCAGCTGTGAAATATTTGGGATACAAAAGGCAAAGTGACTTTGGGGTACTCACTCTTCTATTGAGCCTTCTTGGAAGCTAGGTATATAATTTGGTAGCTTGTGTATTATTTTACAAAATTATTTACTTGCTTCAAAAGTCCAGTGCAGACTTAGCTGTCTGGACTCCCTCCTTCCTGCAGCTTGAGTTTTGTGATGAAATTTCCATTGCTTGAGATGCGGAACCTGTTTTATTCCTTACCGAACGCCCTAAAGTAATAACAGCAGGATCTCTTTACCCCACCAAGGGATTCGACGCATTTCTCTCCAGGCTTTGACCTGTTGTGTTCAGTTGACTCAAGTGTAGACGTGGAAGTCAGCACACACCCTCAGGCCAGCGCTAAGGCAGGCTGTAGTTCCTGAGTGACCGGAAACTTGGAGACTCAAACACGATTACAACCAAAGCTAATACCTGAGTCAAGACTGGAAAGATTTGGCCTGATGATCCCTTTCCTATTATTTCCTTAAAATATTCTCAAATGCGTCGCCCCAAAGGTCTCTTGAATGAACAGGAAACAGCTACTTTTTTATCTTTACTAAAATAGCGAATATCTTTGTCAAAATAGCAAAGTCAGAGAGCTCAATATCCCCAGCTATAGCAATAACTTCAGCTGGGTGTGATGGTACCTGCTTGTAATCATGGCACTTGGAAAACTGAGGCAGGAGGGTCACCATGAATTTGAGGTTATGGGGCAACAAAGCCTATATAATGAGTTCAAGATTTGCTTCTCCTCCCGCCAGACTACACTGCTAGACAATTTCTATAAATAAATAAATAAATAAATAAATTCAATTTGTATCGTGCTTTCTAAAGAGAATGTTCTGCTGTTAAGTGTGTGTGTCTATTATTTAATCATGACAACTATATATAGTAAGGCCCCTAAAATTACAGAAACAGAAACTGAGGCATGGAAAGGTTAAGCAACTCGCTCTAGGCTGTGCAGCCAGTGGTAGAAGAGCTTGGTACCCAAGCCATCTGTAGTCATAGTCCATTCACCAACACACTGCTACCTCTCTTGGGGAGGGAATCATGCCCCATCACTAGTGACCTGAACTGGGCCAGAAGTACCTTTATTCAGTCTCTCCTAAGTGCATGACATTGTGACAAGCCTTAAAAAGACAACAACAAAAGCTAGAGAGTACCATCTCCCTCTCTGAGCTCCACATGAAAGATGAGCACCACAGCATTCTGAAGGGCGTGTTGCCAGCCATGCCTCTTGGCAGGTGGATGAATTTGGCAGTGTACCTTCCATTTATAAAGGAAGATGTTGAGCATGGCCCCATGACATCCCTCTCCCTGATATCAGGGCTGCTCTGCCAAAGACCCATAGTGGGAGGTCCCTGCTAGAGCGTGCTTGAGCTAGTATGACAGTAGGTCCAGTCTGGGATAGCTGTACCTCATGGTCTGGCTGTAGTATGCTGGTATTGGGTTTCTTTAGAAGGTATCGTGAGCCTTTCACGGGAGACAGGGAATTATGATTTGAACAGAATCCCTGGAGTTGTACATCATGGAGGCTTTCATATAAGAAAGAAAGGCACACTTGGAGAGGCTGAAAAGGGAAGATTTAGGGAGAGGGGGGTGGGGAGGACAGTCACAGAATGTTTTAAAGGGATACCTAGAAGAGTTTGTAGCAGACATGGGGTATGACTGCCCCCCTCCATGTCATCTTCCTGTGAGACCATCAGGGGAAAACATGCCACTTGTCAGCGTTTCTTAGAGTTGAATAGGTGAGTGACTTTCAATGGGAAACAGCAAGAGTTGGAACAAAGTAAACTTTCAGAAAAAGCAGAGACATCCAGAAGCCCAGCCTCAGTTCGCCACAGAGATGGCTGTCCAATCACACCCGGTATCCGTGTATCTGAGCTCACACCAAGGGTCAGCATGAGTGTCTGAGATCACACCAGGCATCAACACAAATGTCTGAGATTGTATTGGGCATCAATGTATGTTTTTGAGGTCCCACCAGGCACTAGTGTAAGTTTCTGAGATCATACCAGGCAACAGTGTAAGTTGCTGGGGTCCCATCAGGCACCAGCGTAAGTTTCTGGGATCATACCAGGCACCAGTGTAAGTTTCTGAGATCACACCAGGTGCCAGTGTAAGTTGCTGAGATCACACCAGGTATCAGTACAAGTATCTGGAAGCCCATGCTACAGAAAGGAGGAAGAAGACTGGGAGAAATCAGGACAGGCTCCCCAGAAGAAGGCACATTGGGTGGAAGCAGAGAATAATGTGCGTGGCTTTCAGAATATTTGGAGACAAAACTGTCCTGCAGTGTGAGCTCTGGAAACTCAGCCCCCATCTATCCCAGGCCTCAGTGACCTAACAAAACGGTGCCATTCTACCCTAAGCATGAAAAGAAGTCCTTCTAGAAAGATGGGTGTGACTGACACACCTGACCAAACCTATCACCGTTTTCTCTGGATGTAATAAAAAAAATTAAAAGGCAATAGGCAGACAGTTGTAAGATTACGGTGCCCCCAGTCCTATGATTTAAGCCTCCTTACAGAGTGGAGTGGGGAACGATTACTGGAAAAAAAAAAAAAAAAAAAAAAAAACAGAAAATGGGGTGGGGGAGTATGAGGAGCAAATGGCACATGTGCTGATTCAGTCACCTACTTCCGAGCTCTGAGTCAGACTCTGAAAGATGCTGGGGTGCAACCTGGTTCCCCTCAAAAGAACTTCTGCTCTAATATAATACAAATATATAGCCAGTACATATATGCACTGACTCTGTGAGCCTAGGAGCATGCCCGCCCTCCCTAGGGTGGTCACACAGCATTCTGCCTGGTTCTAGAGCCTACTCTAATCTGCACAAATGCAGAAGAGCCCCTCCAACTTTACCCCAACAGAGAGGTTAGAAGTTAGAGACCACCAGCTCTTGGCGCGTTCTCTCTGGTTCTCATGGTAGCATGGATTTCAAAGGACTTGACAGTTTCAAAGAACTGGTCCATTATCCTTATGCCTTGGTTTCTAATCCCACAGTGGTCTACTAACCATGCCTGGGGAAGAGAAGGGGTTCTATCTATAAAAGTCTGTGTGAGCCACACACTGCCTTGGAGGGGTGCTATACGCCTGACAAAAGCAATTTAAGGAAGGGTTTGTTTTGGCTTAGGGTTTGAGGAATACAGTCCAATAGGAAAGTCATGGCAACAGGATGTAAGGTCACACTGGACCAGTTGGAGGGAGGCCGCTTGTTTGTTTCCCAGCCTCCCAGACCCAAAATAACCACACAAAAACTATTAATTAAATCACTGTCTGGCCAATTACTTAAGCATATTGCTAGCTAGCTTTTATATCT